CTGAGTGCCTGACCCCCTTTGCAGTCCTGTCCCCCCTCCTCTTACAGCCCGCAGTGGCTGCCAGCACCATCATGTGTGCCCTGCTTCCTGGCCTCTGCCTGGGTGCTACATCAATCCATTCCTGTGCCATGTGTGCAGCCGTGTGTGTGGGGCCGGGGGTAGCTCTACCTTAAGCCCCAGCCCAGGGGTGGTTGCTGCCAGGTTTTACCACTGCACCAAGCGTGGCTGTCCAGGACCACCTCCCCATCCTGCAGGACTGGTTCTCCAGCACAGAAGACCAAGGGCCCTGCTGCTCTGGCACCTGAGCGTGTTGAGGCAGAGCTGTCCCTGACCACAACGCACTGCTAGATGTGGCCACCACCTCTTCCCCAGGGCAGGAGCTGCAGCCACAGCAAAAGCAGGCTGGGGTGTGCGGAGCCTCCCCACCCTGGGGGGGCTGAGGGTGTCCAGGGAACGGGTCAGAGCCTGGTGTTGGGAGTGCAAAGGGAGAAAACTGGTTGCACCCATGAGCTGTGCTCAGCGGAGATGTGCAACCACCCACCCAGGAGCCCCAAAACCCACACCACAGGCATGACTGACCCCTGCAGCTGGGGCTTGGGGGTGAAGCTGTGCCTGCACCCACCTCATGCTGCCCCAGGCTGGGTGCTTCTTTCCCTGGGAGTCCTGAGGAGGCTGTGGCCGTCCCCTCGCCCCGTCCCCTGAGCACATGGACACACGGACCACAGGCTCCAGTAGCTCTCACGAGTGTTCTTAATGAAGGGGAGGGGACTCCCAGGCGGCTCTCAGCAATGTCCCCAGCCCCATGCTTGTCCCCAGAGCTGCTGGCAGCTCTCAGCCCACCACAGTCCCATCTCGGTGGCCCACTCAGGCTGTCTTCTTCACGACGTGGATGAAGTAGCAGGGGACGTGGGCCTGCCCCGGCGTGTAGGGCTGGAAGTCGCCCAGGACACTGTGCTGGCACTTCCCCTGGAAGGCACCTTTCAGCAGGGCTGTGAAGGCCTCCAGCCGGTGGGGGTAGTACGAGAGCCGGAATTTGCTGCGGGGAGGCAGTGCTGGTGAGGCATGGGGACAGCAGGACACAGTGACAGCCCCCCGCGAGCCACCCCTGCAGCCCCTCTCACCTCAGCTCTGGGGCTGCCCCCACCTCAGTGGGGGGGACCTGCACCGTGTAGTCCAGAGTCACCATGTGAGCCTTGTTGTTTACCAGCAGCACGGAGGTGGTGATGTCCTTAGTTAAGTCACTCTGGGGACCGCAGAAGGATGGCTGTGTGGTGGCTCCCCGGGCATAGCCCTTCCCAGCCACCCCTGCAGCCCCTCTCACCTCAGCTCTGGGGCTGCCCCCACCTCAGTGGGGGGGACCTGCACCGTGTAGTCCAGAGTCACCATGTGAGCCTTGTTGTTTACCAGCAGCACGGAGGTGGTGATGTCCTTAGTTAAGTCACTCTGGGGACCGCAGAAGGATGGCTGTGTGGTGGCTCCCCGGGCATAGCCCTTCCCCCTGGCCTCACCTCCGCGCTGGGGTTGGGGCGCAGGGGAGGGGAGTGGGCCAGGGTCCACCAGCCACTCACCTTGTAGTAGATGTTCTTGCCCGGTGGGGCACAGCCCGTGGCCAGGATGTGGTCGTAGTTGCGGTGGTCAATGACCAGGACACCCCCAGGCCGCACCATGCTGGCGATGTTCCTCAGGGCCAGCTTGTGGTCACTTTGGTCCCCTGGAGAGGAAACCATGGCATCCCCAGGCTCTGGTTGTACCCCATGGCAGAGCCTGTGGGGCTTCCTCTTTCCGCTGCCCCCCCCATCTCAGCTTGGAGCAGCCACAGCCCCACCCATGGTATGAGCTCAGGCATGTTCTCAGCCTCACTGGGACAGAGCATAGGGGGAACCCACCACCCCGCTCGTGGCACAAGTCTGGGTGTGTCTCCAGCCTTGCCAGATGTGACAGAGATGCACACAGCTCCTCCACCACTATAGGACCCAATGGCACCACTCATGCCATGAAATGGGGCATGTTCTCAGCCATGACACAGCAGCAACACTGTGTGTAACTCACTGCCCCACTTATGGCGTGAGTTAGGGCACGTTCTCAGATGTGCACAGGTCCATCCCCCTTCCAAAACTCACCTTTGAAGTCTGGCAGGTGAGCGAAGGAGTTCCCCAGGCAGATGACTGCATCAAACCCATCCCCTGGCTTCTCCAGGTCCTTCTCCAGTGTCAGCCAGTTGGCCTCCTCAATGACTGCAGCACAGGGGAGCAGCTGAGGGGGACAGGGACACCCCCCACCTTTTAAAGTTTTCTATAAATTTCTCAAGTATGTCTCCTGCACGCCAGACCCTACCCCAGCATCACCCACCCCTTTCCTGGGCCCTGTGGGTAGTGGATCTGGCCTGGGGCCAGCGGGCAGGTGAGGGCCATGGCCTGTGCTTGCTGAGCAGGCAGCACCGGCAGGTCCCT